CTTAAAAGGTCTTAAAACTGTTTATTCTACCGATAAATAAAGGGTTTTTTATTGACTTGGATTTCATTAACCCGGACTGGGATTTCTAATAAAAATCCAACTGGGACTGGGATTTTGCCAAAATTTCAGGTGGGAAATGGGATTGGGACCCCGCCTTCAGGACCCTCTTAACGTATGCTTATATACGGCAATGAAGGTATCTTTAATGCATGATATTTAGCATATTAAAGTTGGAAAAGTGGGAGAACTACAGTGTAACCACTTCACCAGGTGACTAAAAACATATGCAACGATCATAATATTTTACAACATAAAAATATCTCTTTTATCTCTAATAAAAGCTATCTAGTTCTTTTTTAAAAGTTCTATTTAAAACATGCGTAGGAGTGTTTTATCGAGTCGTATATAATAAGTCGGAGGCCGTATTTTACAAATATTTTATGTGTTTTTTTTTTATTGTCGAGGGTAGAAATTCGAGGGTGAAAAGCTTGAGGGTATACATTTTAATAATTTAACAAAATAATAATTTTAGCTCGTGTTCATTTAGTTTACTTTTAATTTTTAGCTCTTATTTTTATATGCAATTATTATTTTTTTTATATGCGATTACTTTTTATATGATAAAATATTACTACATGAAAACAGACATGCCGATCAAAAGCTACAGTCGAGATAGTTTCAAACGGCGTGGTGCATTATCTGCGTTATCTCGGATTGCATGTCGCAAATTATTGTATTGTCTATTCACTATATGGTCTATTGAATCAGAGTAATCAGGACTTGTTTACACCTTGCCATTGCCATACGCCTTTTCCGGGTTCGCGACGCCATCTTGAAAGTATTGTTTTCGCTATCGTGCTTGCCCCACTTGCAAATTTATCTATAGGGAATGCCCGCAAATTTCTACCCTCGACAATAAAAACCATAAAATATTTTAGAAATACGACCCCGGACTTTTTATATATGACCCTCGACTTTTTTATATGACCCCCGACTTTTTATATATGATTTTTCGACCCTCGCTTCCCATGCACCCTCGACCCTCGAGAAGAACTCCTGAAACTGAATTACTAAAAATAGCTAACGTAAACAAACCACATTTATCAAACACGCAAAGAAAATTATTTAAAAAGTAATATATTGTTAGTCATGTCATATAGTTAATTGTCAACACTTTTTCAATGCATGGTAGTAAGTTCATAACTGGCACCATAACTCATAATTAAGTTATGTTGATATTTTGTTTATACAGATTGATTGTTTTAATTTGTAAGGCTTCTGACTTCTGTAAAGCCTAGTTTCCATTTGGTCGTTAGTTGTCGCTGGCACGACAAGTGGCTGATGTAATAGAGTGTCAACAAAACTTTATAAAACTCTGAAATCATTAAGACTGATTTGCATAAACACACGGACAGACTATTATTATATTAAACTATTTCACATCTACCGCTTGTCGTGGCAGCGACAACTAACGACCAAATGGAAACTAGGCTTAAGTTTGTTATTTATATCAAACATTTAGATCGTTTTTAAGCATCCTAGTAATAATTTTACTTTAAGACCAAGACAATGCAGCTGTCGAGACCGATTTTTAATACTCTATCAATAAAACATTAAACTGTGTAATAGACGTAATAGTGTTGGGTAAAGCTATCTAGTTATATATATTTTATATGCGCTTTTGTCTAATTCAAGCGTGGTAGACAATATTGCCAATATTGTTGTGGTTTGCGATATAAATTGCCTCGCGAATCGAAGACTTTCAGATATGTCATATGTCGAATAGATTTGTGCGTTGTTTGTACTTCAATTTTGGCCACAAGGCACAAAGGGAGACTTAAAGAACACGAGTGACGGGTGTTAACACAATTTAACTACGTACAGTGTTGACAAAATTAAAAAATACCGGGCTAACGTCAGCAACGAACCAAGCCAGTTGTCGATCAGAATTAGCTTTGCAATAACGGCAACCGCTACTAAACACGCGAGAAAGTCTCGAATTTCGATTTGTATTTATATGAACTGTGGTCACTGTATAAAAACGAGTGTATGAGAACCCCTCATTTGATAATATTTACTGTAAATAGAACTAAATACATTGTAAACACAACGCTCGCTCCGACCTTTAATACTACGAATGGCGGCTATTTTTAGATATTTCGTATTTTTGTAGTGCGTTGCGTGCGTCGCGTACGGTGCACCTGTGGAAGTGCACACTTGTGTCGCCTAAGAAAAAAGATCTGACATTTTAATACTCCGGTACTTACAGTACCCGGAGTAATAAATATAA